GAGAGATCTCCCGCTGCACTCCAAAAGACTGCCCACCTCTCAAGCAACAGGGTGGCCAACCATAGAATAAAGATTCAAAGCCTTTGGTGAAATATTGTAGCCTACTGCCATCTCCTCGTGCTGTTTCTGAAAATAAAAATCTCTAGTGCTTGATAATGTGCAATCATCATATCAGCCAGATTCTGACCATCAGCATAGACTGCAGCTTTGAAGAAAAAGACAGTGGGGCAGGAATAGTTGAGAAGCAGAAAGAAGAATGCATCACTTGAGGGACATTCTCTTCTCAAGTCCTGTTGCTCTTCCTTGAATTACTAGAATTTTGTTCTTTCACAGAGCTGTAGCTCTCTCCATAATTTTTTTTTCTGCCATTTGATAGCAAATGGCATAAAATACAACATTTTCACAATGGCTGTTTCCTGAAGCTGGAATAAGATCGTGGGCAGGTGGTCCATCACATTTTTTTTTCTATTTTATTTTTAAATAGACAAAACAATACTGTCATTTATTCTCCTTCAACTGGGTGAAACTTTTGCTGCTGTATAACCTAAGAGTTCAGAACAACCCTTACCAAAACACTTCAACGCTTCCCAACACCAACCTCAGTTCAGACAGGTATAGTAGCTACGAAGCTGACTTGTTCTGCAGGGAGTTGTTTTCTTTCCTTTCTCATTATTCAGATTTCCAGTAACTGTTTGCACCACATGAGATGAGGGGGTGCTTGTGCACTTGGTGGCTCTGAAGCTTCAGTTTCGGCTGGCACCTCTCAGCTCCCAGAGGGCCAGACGTTCCCTCTTGCTTGCCCAAGTTAAAGGAGGGATATTAGCTAATGGAAGTGGGAGAAAGCAGGAGTGCTCCTAAACACAAACATCCTATTCTCAAGCCTGCTTAGGACAGAGATTGTGATCGTCAGGCTAAAAAGGTGCATTACAAAGACTTCAGACACATGAGAAAAAGGCAGCAATGTGCATATGGGATATGAGCTCATAGGGGACTGTTCATATTGCTCATACTCCAAGCCAGTTCTGCCTGCCTAGAGCTCCTTCTGTACCTCATGGACAGCGCAGCCCCACCAGTTATGTCCTGTTTTTCCGCAGGACAGTTTCTCTCCTCCATCTCCCTATGCAGCTGTTGAGACTAAATTACTTTTTGTTGAGGCTAACACAATGACAAGGGCTCTGGCTGACCAAGACTTCAAGCATATGAATTTAAAGGTAGGAGGAGGAGGGGTTGGGTTCTTATATTACAGGCTCCTCTGTCCCAAGGTCCTGAGCCAAAAGGATTGTCAAGATTAGAAACATTATCTACATTCAAATCCCACTGGCATTATGGAATCAGAAAATACTGTAAGGGGATATATAAATGCTTGATACTGTAATGAGCAGGAGGCAACCAGTCAAGCTGCTGTTCCTCTGGCATGCTCTAAACTTCGCTGCTTAATGAGGTTCAAATATGCTCATGGGAACAACTTCATACCTAGGCACTGGGCAGACTCCCCCACCCAACGGGAAAACAAGGGCAACAGCAATGGGCAGCCTCTAGGCGGCTGGCACTTAAAAAAACACCTGAGGTACCAAAACCCTGCAAAGACTCCCAGCTCTTAGGCACTGCCACAGTGGAAATTGCTCCTGGGAGTGTCATGTTGCAGAAAGATTTCCCCAGCACAGCACCTTCCAGGCGCTGCAGATGAGCACATGCTGTCCTGCATGCCTGGCATTATCTTGTTAGCATGAAAGATCCAAAGAAGGCAAACTGCCTCCATAACCCACAGCTCAGACGTACACATGGACATGCACATGGACGCTCTCAGATGCAGAACACTGCCCTATCTCCTCTTAGGACAAGCCTGTTCAGAGGAAGATCTCCAAACACTCCTGCTCACTGACACATACATCTCCTCCAAAGTTTGTCCAGAATACATACACACACTTTAGTATTACCAGACCCAGCTGCCACTCTACAAGGCTCTCCAGATACAGTCAAACAAACCTTACCACACAGAAAAGACTTAATGTCACCTTTTTTTTTTTTTGGCCTCACAAGCCCCAATGAAATGCACACTCCCAGAGTCTCACACAAAGAGGCTTTCATCCTATCACCTTATAAAACTGCACATGCTCACAGCTGCATGCATACCCAGCTGAAGAGCTATCTAGTATGCCCTGCATCAACTCCTGGTCAAAGAATTCTCTCCTGAAAACATCCTTCGCCCCCGGCTCACATGCAACCACGTGTCTGTGGCAGGTGCTTCAACCTCAAATGATGAAGGCACATTTCTGAGATCCTTGAAACACCCCCAGGAAACCCTAGCCCGTCTCCTGTTTGCAGGAATCAAGAAAGATTGGGTTCATACTACCTTGGTTTTGTCTGCCTCATGGCTGCATAGCTACAAGTAAGTAGCCAGTAAATTTGTAACTAGATCAAGAAAATTGACATGAGACACAGACTGAATATCCTTCTTCTCTTAGGCTTGCAATATTTTATCTCTTAATAATAGAGCATCCAGAACCTCAAGCGTTGACTCTGGGGAACTTGCTGCTGGTCCACACAACCAGCTTGGTGGAGAGATTTTCCGATAATGTCCCCTGGAGCTGATAATCCCACAGGCCCCGTAATGGCAGAGACAGATCCCCATAACATGGAACAAGAAACAAACTACCACCTGCTTTGCATATGTTTAGAAAGTTTACAGGAGGTCTGCATTTTACACTGCATTATCAGACATCAGCTGCTCTAACATGGATCACATTGGCCTGAACCAGAAGATGGGACACCAGACTAGTCAGATCCATGCTCTGATGTAGCAAGATGAGGAACTAAAGACTGATACTCCATTCTGGCACTATCCACTGTAAATCAGTAAGCACCCTAAGTGTTGAGCCTGTCCTCTACTCCAAAGAGCAAGAACAGAACAGAAAGCAAAACCACCAATGTTGTATCCTTTGTAACACATAGCACCCTTTTGCCTCATACAAAGGCAGTTTCCCCTAAGGACAACAGGCCCAGCAACTGCAGGGGAATTAAGATCACAGTAATTCTATGTTTTGCTATTCTATGATGAAGGTGTGAAAGAAACTGGAGCAGGTCTGAGTACATGGTGTTGTAGGGGATGTCCTCCAGAAAAAAAAGAGGAGCTGTAACTGTATGACGGTTTGTTGAGAACATGTCTTTCAGGAGGGCTTATGTACAGGCCTGGGATGCATATTTGGTGGAAGACGACAATCATGTTTTCAAAACTGAGATTACTTGTAGCAGGAGGCTGTGCCTTCAGTCTCCACTAACTCTTGCAAGTGGTCAGTGCAGGCAAAACTAATAGCCTTTATCAGTAGCAGAGGAGTAGGGGCTGTCCATCCCCAGATGCAGCAGCATCAAACTCTTGGGGGTTCAATCATTTTTTTGGGGGGGGGAAAGGAGGGGAAGGCAGAGGAAAGCAACACAGAAATAGACCTGGAGGAAGGCATCCTTCATAAATCATGCTAAAAGCTAGCTGCAGCCTTTCTTCTGCCTCCCTTGAGTCACCCAGAGCCAGCAAGGGCACAGGAGACAACAGCTACATCCTAATGAGGACACTGCTGTCCTGGAAGCCCGCAGCCCCTCTTCCTGGCCTCACAGTATCCCTCTGCCATGTCCTGCTACCCCAGCACCCTAGTTTCCACCCGCTATGCATCTTCCACAGGCATAACCACAGCAAGGGCTCCGGGGAGGATGGCAAGCCAGCCATTTCCATCAGAGGTATTCCTGGGCTGGAGAGGGAGAGGAGGGGGAGGATCTCACAGCTGCTCTGTGTTCTCCATACATCAGTACAACCCTTGGGGGCCTCAGGCATTCTTGTGGCAGGGCTAAAGGAGTCATTTGGTGCTGGTTTCCTGGGGCCGCAGCATTTCTGAGGGGTCTGTGTGGAATTTCTAGAGTCTTAGAAGGTGCCATTCCCACAGCAGGGCACTTACAGAGCATCTCTCCTTTCCTTGGATATCTATTTTCACAAAACAAGCAGGCATGTGATAGCTTGAAGAGGCCCCTTCATGAAAAAGGTTGGAAATTGGACAGGAGTTTCAGAAGTTATAAAAAGACAGCCAGGAGTGTGACTGGATCAGCATTATGTCCTTTAGCTATCTGGCAAAATAGAAGACCAGGAATTGAAAGATGACTATAGCCTGGGCAGGAAACATTATTTAAAGCATTTCATAAGAAAAGGGACAGTTTCAGGTGTTAAATTTTAATCTTATTACTGTGTTATTACTCTCCAACTCATCTCCACTGCTCCTTGAAAAGACACGACTCTCTGGTTGGTTCCAGAGATAGCATCTCCCACTTTCCCTCCTCCCCACAACATCTCAAGTCAGCACAAATCAGAGCATTTAAACGCTACTGGGTCTGGGTTTCCTTTCTAAGACACCGAAAGAAAGGCATAAAAGATAGAAAAAAAAATCTAAGACCAAAAAGAGACGTGGGGTATGGAGAAGGGTGTCTAGCAATGCAGGTATGACTACTTTTAGGCCAGGAGCAGCTCTGCATCCCACTCTTTAACGTTGCTCAGGACATGCTTTTTTTGATTGCTTTTTTTGTTTTGTTGTTTACCATAAACCATTAGCTCATGGTTTGCAACTGAAGCAGCAGGACCATCACCTCCACTTTCCAGCTGTCTGATTTTGAGCATCTTCAGAGTTAAAACATCCACTGTGCCCAAGTGGAGCCAGATGGAGCCAGAATATGAGGCAGGAGAGAGTTCCTTGTTTTGTGCCAACAAAGAGAGCTTTCTCCCACCATGCTCATTCCTTGGTATAACCAAGGTACTCCAGGGCAACCCTGTGGTACAACAATGGGAAAAGATCCAGTCCTTCTGATCTGGAGGCAGCATGTAATGTTGCCTATCCATCAGTGCTACCTACCAGCAGAATATGGGTCACTTGTTTTTATCATGGCATCCTAGCGTGGCATCCTAGCATTTAAAATCCCTATAGCATCTGTATCACTAACTCTCAGCTCTCTGGATTCCTTCACAGCTGGCAGCTCAGGTCCTGGAACCTCGGAGCATTGGCTTTGGGATGGTGGACTCCAAGAAGGATGCCAAGCTTGCCAAAAAGCTAGGTGAGTGCCACATTTAATATCTCTGGAATAGCATGGAAAGAACACTGGAATGATGCCAAACAGCCATCCCCAGAGAGGACAGTCAAAAACTTGTCCCAGGGGCAGAGGGTGGTGATGGCAATCGCACACTGACAATCTCCTCATCCCAGCCTGGGGAGGATCAAGTGGGAGGCAGGAGTAAGCTGGGATCCTTCCAGCAAAAGGCATCCTGGTTGAAAGTGTTAAGAACAGCTAAAAAAAAGCCCATTCATTCTGTAGTGATGACAGGCTCACAGCTTGCTGAGCAGAAACTTTGAGATGTCTTGGAGTAAAGGCACTCTTTGTGCACAGAAGTAGGTCTGACAGTGATGCAGATCTGAAGCCTACAGAGACATCATATAAGTCCTCTAAACATCACTTTACCTACTACAAAGCCCCCACATATTGGTGGCTTAAAGCCACCACATTGGTAGCCAGGTGCCAACCCTTTCCCACTAACCCCTTCTTCCCACTCCTATGCTTCTTGCTCTCCCTCTCAAGTCCATTTGTGCAGGGACTCCTACCAGGAGGGGACACCTTTGCCTCACAGCTCAGCTGGAGACAGGAGAGAGAAATGTAGTTTTGTGGTTTGCTCCCCAGAATAGAAGAAGCAACTTCCTATGAAGGTGAAAGGTTGATGACACTTCCAAACATAGTTGTATTCTAGTGGCTGGCAATTTCTTCATCACTGAATGCACAAAGATTTTAAAAATACTACAACAAATACTACAAGTATGGTGGTAGACACTTAAACCAAACCAAGATTTTCTGCCTCTCCAAGAGGCAACAAACTAACACCCATATTGATCAGCTGTAGTGGTCCTGCCATTACACACTGCAGGAGCTTAATATTGCTGATACTGGATCTTCTGCCAAGACATTGTGGCATTCAGTCATCAGGCCAGTGATGTGTCATTCAGATCTTCCAGCCTGCATCTTGGCATCTCAACCATTGGTTTCTAATCCCTTTTCTAAGTCTAGCTAAGACTCAGAGCTTAAAGCTCACTTTATTTTTCTGGTGCTTTTTATATCCACCTAGTTCAATATTCTGTAGGCAGAGATTGCAGCCCTGAAATCCACACCTATATCAGATGCTATTTTCTCTAAAATGACAGGCTGTACAAGTTTGGGACGTCAGTTAGAATCCAGTATTATTTATTGCAATATGGATAGCCAAACTGAAAAAGTCCCTAAAACAGCATTTTTCCAACTGAGACCTAACTGTGATCCAAGTGAGAAGTTCCCAACATTTGGGAAGAAATTAACACAAGTTCTGGTTGAGGTGTGAAATATTAGTCACGAGTTTGCTCAGATTGTTTCTAACCGAACAGGCTCAGTGACCTGTCAATGGCATTTTCCCCAGGACACACTCCTAAAATAACAATCAAGATGCTCCATTATAAAAAGAGCAATGATTTTAGTTACGTGTTGACCACATTATGTTTCCTGTCTCCTTCTTTCAGGCTTGGCAGAAGAAGGAAGTCTCTATGTCTTTAAAGAGGAGCGATTAATTGAATTTGATGGGGAACTGGCCACAGATGTCTTAGTGGAATTCCTCTTGGATGTAAGCACTGATAAGCCCGGAGCTAGAAAAAAATCTCCCAGAAAAGACCTTGCAAATACTCACCTCACTAGAAAACACAGCTTATCTTTATTTACAGCCCCATATTTGTTTGCAACACACTGGCATACAAATGATATTGCCAACTTGTCGGAATACAAGTTCTCAAGGACGCTAACACCTTTATAAGCCACCAACCACTGTTACCTAATTGATATTATGCACTTTCATATCTACTAGGTGCCCAATTGCTTCATCAGGGAAGAAACAACATTCCCATGTAATCAGTGGCTAATCACCCACCTCAGCAAGCCAGTACGCAAACACATTGTAATTTGCAAAATCATTCATCCAATTTAAAAATATATATAATTTTCCCCAAAGCATTCAAGTAGTAGTATCCCCACCACCACCAAACTCAACTAACAAGAGCTCGATTCATTGAGGGAGGGGGACCTTATTCTCTGTGATCTAGTTACCCATTTCTAGACAAACAAGACAGTGTACTGCTGCCACCTCTGCAGATTTATGGAACTGCAGCACCCTAACTTTGAAGGAAACATGGTTCTAGATTTGTTCTTCTCAGATCATTTGGTCCATAGGCACAAGTAAGTACTCCTCCCTCTGCCTAATTGCAAAAGGAATGTCACTTCCCTCATCAACATTTTGCACTTCTCTCCCTTTGCATCCTAGTCCTAGGAAAGGTAATAGGCCAGATACAAGGTCTACATTTTGTGATGAAAATTTTGGCCTCTTCCATATGAGGCTTGTCAGTCTGAAGCGCTCAGAATGGGCCCTCTTATTATCTATGCTCTGTAAATGGAGAAACTGAGACAAACAGGAATATTACAATTCATCAACTGTCATTCAGAACCAGCAAAATACAAAAATCAAAGGTGGCTTGCTGTAGTCCTAGGCACATTCTCTGCCAAAGGAATTTCATGGCCTGTAAATTTGACTTTACTTTGAAATGAGTCTCTTTATGAGCACTGATTGCCATAACACAGCTAGGAGAGTCTCTCTTTGGGACGAGGAGCAGAAGAGAGGCAGAGTTAGCTTCGCAGTTTGGCAGGACCTCACCCTGGATGGTCACCTGCATTAGTGAAAGCAAAGTGCCTGTTGCAAGGGCCATGGTTGAGTATTTGATTTCATACCATCCTTTTAAAGCAACATGCAGAGTATGTGCATCCTCTCAGCCCCACACCAGTTCCACCAGTGCCCTTGGAGGGACTGTTGGCCACAGATGTTTCCACAATCCAGGGTAGTCACAGGGCTCAAATTCCCTTATTCCCAGGGCTCAGGCACCAGAGGGCACTACTGGAACGAGCATATCCTGGTTTGGTGCTTCCCATGCCCCGCTCAGCAGAAATCAGCAGCGGCACAGTCAAACATCTGAGCATCATTTATAAGCTCTTTTGTGATGCTTGGTTTGCTGCACTTTGCAGTGTGCTGCATATAAATTGTGTTAAGCAATAAAAGGAAAAAAGTGAGAATTTCTGTTTGTATGTTTTCCACTCACAAGGGAAAATACCCAACAAAGCAGGGAAATAAAAAAAAATACACCTGTGGTGCCTGGGCAGCCTGATCTCAAAGGAAAACAAACCCAGTCATGCAAGTTTTACAGGGGCCTGCCTGCATTTTTTTTTCCCTATACCTAATTTACACCAGTACTGCTGGGCAAAGCCAGACCAATTCCCCTCCTCTTCAACTAGCTAAGGAAAAGAGAAGTTTGTCCTCAAGACAGGCTGTAGCTGCAGGTAGGTCTTGAACCAAATACCTCATCAAAATCATTAGGTAGCCCACTCAACAATATGGGTTTAACCCATGTTATGTAGAATGATCAGCCAGGAAAACACACATCTACACTTTGCACTGCTCCACAACATCAGTTGCCCACCCTCTAGCACATCTTTTTCCACACTGTTCTCCAGAAGAGACTGCTTTAAAATGACCTATTCCAGCAAATTACACTCAAAAATAAATCCATCACCCACAATCCTAGTGCCAGCTCCCTTCAACTGTTCTCCCCTTTTCCTCTCCAAAAGCCAACTGCTACTGCTCCTCCTCATCTCTCACCACAGCAGGTCCTTCAGCATCCCTTTTCACCACCCAGGCCTCTACTTCTCTGTTTACACTTCAGCCTATGCAGCATGCCTCCTAACAGCTCCCTCTGAACATGACCCATTTCTATAGGTGACCCCTGTCTTAAGGCAGGGAGCATTAAATACAGTTGCCAGCAGCAGAGAAATGGGATGACCTCCTCCTCCCCACTTAGGTCACTAGTAACATAGCCTGTCAGTCATAGTCTGGGACTGCAAATCACCACATTATCAAACACATTTTTTTCATGGCAGCTGCTGGAAGACCCTGTGGAGATCATAAACAACAAGCTGGAGCTCCAGGCCTTTGATCAAATTGATGAGGAGATCAAACTCATTGGCTACTTCAAAGGAGAAGACTCTGAACGTGAGATGAATGTTTTCCTCATGGGGGTTGGAGTCTTGAAGGGGGGAAACTGGGGGTGGAAGGGATTGATTCTTGGTCATCAATACTAAGGGAGCAGCAGTACACACTGGATCATGGCCATGTCAGAGTCACTTTCAGGAGATGGAAAATGAAGGGAAATGATTGCAGGAAAGTTTCTGCTGCTAAGCATGAACTCATTCCTCTGCTGACAGCAGTATTCCTTCTGCAAGGTGTCTGCTGGCAAGGGAACAGGGCGATAATCCAGGCTCTTCTGCTAAGAGAAGTAATTCTACCTCACTCCAAACCACATGAGACCACAGTAATGCTGAGAGAGCACCTAAAGGGAGCCACATTCCCCCTCTCACAAGCAGTGAGCCCAAGAGGTGTTAAAAAAAAAAAAACAGGGAGACGAACGGAGAGGGGGACATACATTCAAAACCATCTTTGGGAAACAGACACACAAGAAAACCCTAGCAGTAAGCAAGACACTTCAGGGTAGCATGGCAGAGGCACTGAGCTGTTTCCCCCTGCTGAGCCCAGGGGCAGCTGAGGTAAGCAGCCAGCAGCCCACAGAGAAGGGGCTGCTCCCACACCCTGGGACATACGGCTCAGAGATGCTCACTGGCATCCCAGGATAAATGTCCTTAGCTCTCCCAGAGCTAGAGAAACCTTCCCCAACATCTTTTCCTGGTAAGCCCCAGCAGGCTCCTCATCCAGCCCCATGCACTCCCTGCTTACCAAGAGGTGCTGGCACTGTACACACACCACAGGGCTTAACACCCACATGAAGACCGCCTCCTTTAGCAAAAAGTAAAGTGTTCCTACCTGTTCAATAAGGGTATCAGAGTGCCTACCGTACTGCAGCAACCCCTTCACCTCTCTCTTCTATTTCCCTGCTGGCTCTAAACCAGAAAGGTGGAAAATGACCCCTATAAAGAGCTCCTGCCAGGTAAAAAGTATCCTTCCCAAGCCCAGCTGAAGGCCTTATGTCAATAAACAGCAAAAATGTATGTCCTTCCTTTCTCCCTGCCACCTACAGGAGCTCACCTGCTTGTGCATGGTGAATGTTTAGGGAATCCTAACAATTATTAATACTAACAGGACTCAATCTGAGTCTGAGTACTGCTTTGTGCAAGAGGTAACTGCAGGAACCCTCACCTGCAGGCTGGAGGTGCAATCTCTCAATGGGCTCCTCAGGGCTGCAGATGTGAGGCCCCAGTTCTGGGATCTATAGTTTCCTGAGCCCTATGTGGCAGCACCAAGTCTGTCCTATTTGCTCCGTATGAAATGGTTCCTCTTTGTAAACCCTGGAAGGGTGAAAGAAACATAATACTATCATCTGTCATATTCTGTGATAGCATATATTTGTTCTTCCCTAGTTCTGATCAAATCATAGCCAGCTGTATGCAAAATCTTCTCCTCATTCCACTTTTCTCTTTCCAGATTACAAAGCATTTGAAGAGGCAGCTGAACACTTTCAGCCATACATAAAATTCTTTGCCACCTTCGATAAAGGGGTAAGTGTGCAAGAACTCCCCTGTGAGACGTCACAGCCTGCTTTCCACACAGCTTAGCAGCTTTCAGTTACAAAGGTTTAGGCTCTGAAGTAAGAAGTTAAGAGCTACCTTCCCTAAAACTCCACAGATGTGAAGGTTTGGCTGGGTTGGTGAAAAGAATTGGAGGATCCAGCCCACCATCAGTGCCCAACCACATTTTCCTGTACCATCTGTAGATGGTACCCAGCCCTCCTAGGCCTTGAGTTGCTGCATCACTTGGACTGTCCTAGTGGGCATGTCACCATGAAGACTCAGCAAAGCTGGCATATAGAAATGTGAATAAGGTTCCTTTTGCCTCACTGTGTCTCATCTTCTTTGCAGTTGAAGACCCCCAAATTTCAAATGGACGAGACAGGCCTGTCTTAGGCTCCCCATGTCCCTGTGAAGACATGCAAAGAACTAGTCTGTGAGGAATAGATGTGGGATGCTTGACTAGGGGTCACAGAGACACATGGATCAAAAAAGTTGTAAAGTGCAAAAGGACACTGTGTTTATCACATGACCTCACTCTATCCGTAACTTCTGACTTTACGTGGTGTTTTCTGAGAAGCTCAAGATGGTCCTGAATTTAATGTCTGGCTTCAGTTTCTCATTCTGAGCACCCCTGTAACTTGTACTGTGTGTGTCCACATTTGGGTTTGGTCCTGTTGCAAGATAAAAGGTCACTTCTGCAGCTTGGTGGCTTATTTTGGTTTGGATTTGGAAACCAGACCCATCTGGTCATGAGTGCATGACTCTAGTCTTAGTTTGACCCAGTGCTTAAGACAAGTGGTGTAGAAAGTGTCAGCATTTCTTTGCCAGGGAAAGATTCATTCATTCATGGCCAGCTCTGATAATGTGTTCTCTGTGAGACAGTGCCTCAACCTCTGCTCTGCTACCACGGGAGACCCTAGGTAGGCAAAGAGGCATGTCAGACTTACTCATGTGTGACCTTCTGCCACTGCAACAGGTTGCCAAGAAGCTAGGTCTGAAGATGAATGAGGTGGATTTCTATGAACCATTTATGGATGAGCCTGTTCACATACCTGATAAGCCTTACACAGAAGAGGAACTGGTTGAATTTGTGAAAGCACACAAAAGGTATGTAGAATGTAGGATGTTCCTGGCTATGGGAAGTGGGTAAAGGTGTCTGCCATCATAGGCTTACCCCTCTCGAGCAGCCTGTCTCAATAAAAGGGAAGATGACTACCACTTTTGACTGTTTGCTGCTCCAGGTTTGAGAGCTTGGTGAGTCTTCTCCTAATCCCTGAGATACAAGCAGCAGTACTGCTTGTGACTACAAGCAGTGACTGTGACTACAGCCAGTCAGCACATGGAGCTAGGACAGCCCAACTTCCGTCCTCCTCCTGGGGTAGTCCTCTTTTAACTAGTAGAGAAGTTTTCAGGCAGTAAAGAGTGGTAAGCCTGTCCTGCTTGTTTATACTTTTTATTCAGGTGTCTACAGAAATGATTTTCTCTGTCAGGTGAACAAGAAATTCTGTCCAGTCCTCTCCTTCACCAAAACAGCTTTATTAATGGCTATACTCCTCTCCTGATGTGAGATAGACACCAGGGTGGTACACAGACTCTGAGCTTAGAGCAAAGGTAGAGGACTATGATGGATTAAGTGGAATGGCACCATGATTCTGCTCAGAGTGGGTGCACAAGGCAAGCCCCTTCAGGTACAGCCGTGTTGGCCCTATCTGGAAAGATGCTGCGGACCTACCATTTTTGATCAAGTCAATGGGCACTGTGGATGCTCCATGCTTTTTGCAATCAGGTCTGTGGCATAATTGTTTAGGGACTTGGCTACTTGAGGAGCCCAGGAATCTGAAAGTGACTGGAAAGCCTGCTCCTGTGTCAATGCACAGACTTAAGTATATAGACACAGATGTATATGATGTGCTCTATTTTTACACCCTTAAAAATACAGTGCAGGGCAGTCACATCAGGTGTCTGCTTCTCCTGCACCTGCATCTCTTGGAAGGCATTCAAGGGACAAGAAAAAAGTTCAGTAAAAACAGGGCCATGGATACTGTTAGAGGATCAGAAATAGGATTGAGCTGGAGATTTCTGCTCATACACACAGGGTTAAACGTATAGCTAGGTATAGAGACAGGAGATTTTTCCCATACAGATTCAGACTTGGAAACAGACCTCTGCTTCTTCTTAAATATGAAGGGGTCTTCTATCTCCCATATACTCTCAGGTCATTTTGCTGACCTCCTACACTTCCTGACCACAGCTTTTCCCATCTTTTTTTCCCAAGGTCTTTCTGTCAAACAGCAGCATCAGGAGGCTGATTAAACACAGTCAGATAAATGCTAGCCTAATAAGGCAAGCTCTCCATCAGCACAAAATTGCAGTGGAAACCCCCTGTGTCTTACATATTTCAAGATGCTATCTTGAGCTTGATAGGAGTGGGGGAATGTGTCTTTTATTTTGTAAGAGCCAAGGCTCAGAAGAGAATTAAAAGAAGTCTTGTGAAATCAGATGTGTGAAATCCCAAATCTGCCAAGGTGCTGTCATGAGAAGGGGAGAAAACCTTTGGGTCATAGTGATATGTTCCCAGCAATTAATACTTCTTCTTACCTTGCTGCTGCTAAAGCATCTTAAGCCAAAGGCTGGAAATAGAATTAGTCAGATAAAGAGATGATAAGGCATGTAAAGAAAATGAAGCAACTTCAGCAGTTACTGCCTGCTAGTTCCTTTTAGACAACTTAGAAGAGATTTCTCCAGTGCAAGATGGTATATAAGGGCCACTTTCTTCCTTCCCCTCACACAGCAGACTTTTTCGCTTTATTCCAGACAGGAATTATGAGATATCCTTCTTCTAAAGTGCTCAAAACCTTTGACATCTCTTCACCCCTCTGAAGGAGGAGAGCCTACCCTACATCACTAGCAGAAGCCCCCTATAGTCACCAGTACCCCACCGCTTCTGCGCACCTTAAGCAACTCCTTCAAAAGTGCTCCCTCCTCCGCTCCCTCCTCCACTGCTCTCCCTCCATCCTGTCTCATTATCAGTGCTGACATGGGCTCATCAGAATCACAGGTGTGTGCACTATAGGGTGCACAGCAGAGTTGTTCATTGCCTTAAGAATATGCTCTATTCTAATCTTTAGTCATTTCCCTGAGATTTCTAGCATTCGTTTTGTCTTTTTGCCTTCAGAAATGACGTTTTCCTAAAAGTATCCACTGTCACACCTGGACCTCCTTCCTAAGCAGCAATTGCTAATTATAACTAATTTAGAACTCATTGTTTCACATGTATAATCATTTTTTCCCATGCGCATTATTCTCTATTTGTCTATTTCTGCAGCTGCTCAAGTCAGAGGAGATCCCTCTGCAGCTCTTCAGATGGTGTTGACCACGTGATCAATTGTGTACAATAAGCATTTTTATATCTCACTATTCACCATTTTTTTCAGACTAAGTAAGAATATGTTATGCATATGATCATGCCAAAGCATTTGCTATGAATTTTAACTGGTTAATACCCTCCATAGTGAAAACTGACCTTTCATTTCTACCTTTCATTTACTATCTTCTAATATCATTAACGCACAGGAGGGCCTCCCCTCTTGTGTCATTGCACTTAGTTTCTTTGATAGCCCCTAGTAAGTGACTTTGTCAAATGCTTCTTTAAATGCAGTAAACTGTGTTGACCAAAATGCCTTTACCCACTGGCTGACCTGCTCCAAGAACTCTAGTGGATATGTGAAGAACAACATTCCTCTATGAAGTCACATAGTCCTTTATCCTCTTCTATTTCTTCAAATGTGTATTAATTCTACTTTTGCTAATGGTTTCTACCAGTTTGTCCACATGGAAGTCACCTTCCTGGTCTTTTTAAACCTGCAAAAATGTGATTGTCATTCCTTGCATCCACCCTTCTGGCAGTAAGGCACACTGAGCTGACAGATTACACACCTCTAATAGCACAACATCAATTTCATATTTGAGTTCTGTTGGAATTCAGAGACTAATACCATCTGGTCTTGGCAGCTCACTACTCTTCATTTTACCAATTTGTTCTGACACTTGTCCTTACAACAGTTCCCTAGACCTGTCTGCTGTGAAGGCCTGTTCTGGTGGGGGAACCTACCCAGGCACCCTGTGTTACAGCAAGCAGAGATGCAAAGAATTATTTTTGCTCTTCTACTACAGCCTTATATTCCTTAAGTGCTCCTTTAACATCTCAGACACTTCTCAGTCTGAAAAAACTTTTTTACAGACTTCCTGTTCCTGATGTGGTTGAAAACATTTGCTACTATTTTTCTTGCCTTTTGTGACCTATCCCCCAAATTTGATTTGGCTAACCTTGTGATTTAAAATTTCTTGCCAGGGTTATTTTGCCTTCTCTGTTTTAGCAGAATTTTGAAGGATTTTTATTGTGGAATTATGCTTGAGTAAAATTAGAGAAAGAAGGGAACAAAGCCCAGTAGGCAAGGAGGAATATGAATAGCTCAGGGACTGCAGTACAAAACTTCATTTGCTCAAAAACTGAATGGACCATCTCATGCGCTCAGCTCCACAGGGTGGAACAAACTGCAATGTGTGGGGATAATTCACCAAAGTATTCCAGCACAGAGGGCCATCTCATCTTCCGAGACACAAATAACAGCTGCAGTGACTCTAGTGGGGGCAAGGGCAGAGTTTTATCACTGTAAATGAAAGGCTAATTTGACCTAGTGTGCCCCTAAGCTTGCATTCAAAATATGCCAACTTATGAGGCTGACGCCAGCCACCAACCAAATGTGCCGCGGGGACCTTTTCCCATCAGTGGACTGCTGTCTGCATCCTCAAAGCAAGTCCTTTCTTCTTTCCAGGGCTACGTTGCGGAAGCTGCGCCCAGAAGACATGTTTGAGACCTGGGTAAGCATATGCGGGTGGGAACCCCTTCATCTTCTGTGAGCTTCTAACGAGACACAAAGCCTTTCAGGCTACCAACCTGCCTCATGAAAGCTCCAAAATCTGAGCAGGCAGAAACACCAGCTTTACTTCCTTGCAGAGCATCTGCGGCATTACGGACATGCCGGCTGCTTTAGGAGGAAGGAAGAGCCTTGGTTATTATGTCCAACATCCAAATTGAAACTATACACATAAATGCTTTGCTGAGCAAGGATGGATAGCTGAATGAGGGCCCAGTTGCTTCTCAGAAAGAACCAAAGGCTAGCAAAGCATGCCAGGTGGACTCAACAGTCATAGCTCACCTCCAGTTCTGGACAGGAACAGAGAGGGAGGACATAGGATAGAAAAGCAATTTCCCAGCACTGTAAACAGCGCTGATTCCCACAGAACGGCTATTCCAATCAATGGACGAATAGAAGCTATTCTTAATTAAGTAACTACCCTAGCTGGTCCGAAGGTATCTGTTGTGAAGTCTCTTTAGCAACCATAATATGACTATGTTCATATGCATCTTTAGGAAGGATTTTCTCAGCGACATGCAGGTTTGTGGCAGGGTGACCTCAGCAGCCTGTTTGCTGGGTGAGTGATGGCTCTTGTGCTGAACAGATAACTAATGGAAATTGTGCAGGAGCAATTGTACAATTCGGAATCCAAATGAGGACAGGCAATTCCATTAATTATATACACTATGGAGCAAACAGCGCATTGATTGCACTTCTCACAGCGTGAGCAAACCTCACGTTGGAGCTTCTGCAGAATTAACCCGCAATTTGGAACATATCACACAAGGCTCTCCTGGTTTGCAAGTGTGGGGGAAGAGGGGAAAGGTGAAAATTAAAGGCGAGTCATGTATTGCAAATTATTCCTTCACTGCAAATGAGCATGATGTTAACAGCAGGTCAGGGAAATTCAAGTGCCAGCAGAATGCTGAAAAACAATCTGAACAGGTGCTTTAAGGAAGTTAAAAGATGATTCAGTCACTCCTCCAGAAAGCTCAGTACAAGATTTTTAATAGCAGTCAGTTGCCTCCTTGCATAACATGAGATGCTGTGGCACACAGAAGCACCAAAAACCTTGGGAATCTTTAATACAACTGAATCAGGAGTTAAGAGTCTCCTGGGCGTGATAGCATTCTCATTTTATTTTGAAATGTATTTTGATGTAGAAGATGATTTCCAAAATCCATTGAAAACCCGGGAAGTTTTTTCGTGGGCTTCAGAGGGACCAAAATTTCACACACGTAGTGCTTTTGATTTCATACTGAATATATTCTAAAATAACCTCAGGAAAAGTGTGAATTATGAATGATGGAGTATTTGCTTAACGAACACCTTGGGAATACAGTGATCGTCCCGTTGAGATCAAGAGATTCTTACATACAACCGACAGCAGGTTTGATTCTATTCCCACTGCAAATTGAGACTATCACTAGTGACATCACTGGAGTTACTCCAGTTTAAGCACTGCACTGGGGATCTGAACCTAGCCCAGCTTTGGCATTTTCCTGTCTGACAATGCTGCCAGCAAATATGGAGAAGAAAGTGAAACTATAGATTTTGCCATCTGTAAGTGGTCTGACTCCTGCAGTAAATTTGCCTTGAATACCCCGGGAAATGTATTCCCAAAGACACCAGGAAAGGCCCAGCATCCACTGTTGTTTCTAAAGATAATGTTTTCCACTTAATCTTTTAGCTTTTTTTTTTTTTTTCTCTTTTCAGTTTTTGATGGTGGCTTTGTTACCTCTGGGCTCAGAAGGGAAAAGAAATTAGCATTTAGATGGGAATTTTTCTCTTGCGTTACAACCAATTGAAATGGAAACAGGGACCAGCAGTCGACAAGGAACGTGAAGCTGTTCTGTGGGATAATTCTGTGATGACATTCATAGCAGGCAGATGATAAACGGTCTGGCAGATCCACTGGCCTTTGCCAGTATCATTACCCAAGCCTACTGTCACATGGCTCATGGGGAAAAGCAGTCCACCGCCTTTGAGCAACCAGGCTGTCATTTCTTCCCTGTGCACATTCGAGCCCCATGGCATTTGCACAGAGACATCCTCCCCCAGTCACTGCCCACAGAGACCTCAGCCTGGACCAGACCTTTCACCTGCCAAAGACTCTCAAGCAGGCCAGCTTGCCTGTGGTGCTATGAGAAAACCATCTTCCCTGACCCTAAAGGAATGTGTTTGAGGTCTGAATGGAGTAGGAGGTATTTGTCTCCCCATGAACGCCCCCTCTTGGTATCTGTAAATGACCTGGGAATAGGTGGCCTCGAGCCATGGTGGGTGAGCCCATATGTGGCCTCCTTCAGAAACAACCTTTTGCCCAGCCACACTCTGAGAAGCTCCATCTCCCTTGTTGCTACAGTGTCCACCTTGGTTTTAGCTGTAGGACTTCAACAGTGCCCCCCAAACTGCCCTACTCAGCACCTGCTACCTCCGGAGCTCAGTCCTACCTCAGCTTTTTCTCAGTCTTTCAGTGGGACTCCAGACTGTACAGTTCTCCCAAAGGTATCCCACTTCGACAGGTCTCCAGCAACAGCTGAGCCCCTGTCCTCTCTTAATGGTGTTATTGCTTGCAGGAGGATGACTTGGATGGAATCCACATTGTGGCCTTTGCTGAGGAAGATGACCCAGGTAAGAGACCGTTTTCCTCCCTGGCATGACCCTGCTACTCAAGGGAAACGCAGCCTCATGGGCTTTTTTTTGCATCAGCGGGATCATTGCATGTGGGTCCCCTTTGCAGCCCCCCAGCCTTCCCATCTTGTCCCTGCTCTGTCTGCTTTGCTCCTCCACGGGCGAGTGACCTCCCTCATGAGTGTGTCCCTCATGCTCCCACAGGCATCTCAGCCTCCGCTGCTGGCTCTGCCCTGTCTCCTGCCAGGGTCCTTGCCTTTCCCACAGGAAGGCCGTTGGGCTGGTAGGGCAGCCACAAGGAAGCCTCCCTAAGAAGGAAGGCTGCCTGCTGCCTTTCGTCTCAGCCTTTTCCTGAGCAAATCCAGTCCGGCAGCTGGGAGCCTGTCGGACCAGCCAGGCCGCTCCGGCTCCTGACAGGAACCCCACGCCCCGGACGGGAAGGGGAAGCCGACGCCTGCCAGGACAAGGAGCCAGGCTGCTCAGGAGAGTTTGCATTAGGCACTGGCATGGACTGAACTGTCGGCTTGGGATTTAAATTGATCACCAACTGAATTAAAAAAAAAAAGCTTTTCCCCTTTCCAGCCCACCCTGGCACCAGGAAGTAATTCATCATGGGCTTGCGTTTCCTTAGCAGCTTTGTGCACCAGCCCTAGCTGCTGCTGAAACAGTGCCTGGCTGCAGTGCAGACCTTTGGTCTATTCAGCATGGCAGCTTATACGTTTTATGGCACAGAGTGAAGAAGCAGGGGCTGAGCGCCGACATTTGCTCCCCAACTCTGTGGCCGCCCTGCTGTGTGGCTTGGGAAGTGTGTCCTTGGGGCTGGACTTGTCACATGCACTTGGAAAAGCTGCGAGCAACAGTTCCTGAAAGGCAATGGAAACGGTGCTGCTAAATCCTGCCCAGCACATGGAAAAGCTTCGGCCTCTCAGGGATTCCTTTCTTGTCTTGATGAAAGAAAATACTGACATTGTTCCACTCCATAGAAGGATTATGAGACTTAATCCATGTGTAACTAATTTCAGTACCCTGGGAAGGTGCTAGAAATTAAAAGCATCATGATCAGAAGAAAAAGAGTTGGGAGGCTGCATTTTCTGTTATAGAAAAGAGAATTATAAACAATTCTTGTTTTCACGGGGGATGAGGGATGTTGAAAAACCCAGGAGTGTAAATCCGATGTGTTTTTAGCAGAGGGAAGTAGCAGTTCATTTATCATTTCAGATGGCTTTGAGTTCCTGGAAATCCTGAAGCAGGTTGCCAGGGATAACACGGATAATCCTGACTTGAGCATTGTGTGGATTGACCCCGATGACTTCCCTTTGGTGAGTGGCAGAGGATCTTTTCCTTTCTTGGGTTTGTATGCGATGTATGTGCTGGTCAAAGCACCAGCATTGCCCCAAAGTGTTCACAGAATATGAAGGAAGGGAAAATGGGTCTCAGGAGGTCAAACAGAGGGCTGTTCATTCAGGGTCTGCCTCCCAGTCACATTTTCCACCCCAGTACTGGAGAAAGAGGGTGATCTCCTACACAGCTGCCTTGGAGCCATCCTAATTGTACAGCATTTAACTCCCATGTGCGATGCAGCCCAAGTTTCAAGTCTAACTCTCTTCTCCAGATTTAATCAATATGCAGTCCCTTCACCACAGTCCAGCTGGCTGAATTAATATTAAGAGGTTTTGCAGACATCTTTGCCTGAGCTTTATTTCTCATTATTGCAGCTGATCACTTACTGGGAGAAGACTTTCAAGATCGACCTTTTCAGACCGCAGATTGGGGTGGTGAACGTCACAGACGTGAGTAGCACAAGCCCAGCAAAAAAACAGTGATCATGAGATGAGGGTGCTAGAAAGAACGGGATCTAAGATAGAAAGCAAGTCCACCGAGGTCAATAGGATTTTTACCGTTAAGTTCAAATATACCAGGCTTTTTCCTCAGGGGGCAGTATCAAGACCTCACCATTCCCATGTGCAAGTGGGCTTTTAACACCTCCAACTTCAGGCAGGTTTCAGGGCTTCAGTCTGAGCACGTTTGTGCAGCTGAGTTGCACACAGACCTCTTCTGCCTAGGACCATATTGGCCCTGTGGTCTGAACTTCAAGATTTTTTCCTGTTTTCCTTTTCAAGGCCTCACATTCACTCATCATGCTCTTTTGTGCCTCGCAGGAAGGGTCTGCTCTGACTGCAGCCTGGCTGGGCTGGAGGGGGAAAAGTGCTTGTGCGTGGGTAGCGGGGCTTGCATTTAGGAAAGGAAAAGCCGAGAAGGAGGAAGATGGTTTTGCAGCAGAAGCAGAGTGGCACAGCTTGAGTGTAGGAGTGAAAGATGGTGCCCAACAGATGACAGGGAGCAACTGCACACATTAAAAAAATAAATAACTAATACATGATAGGAAGACAGCATCAACTCAAAACAGAAGGATTGTCCTGGGGCAAAGAGAAGAATTAAAGGATCTCCTAAACTTTCATCCCATTGAACTACGGCTGCCAGTTTCTTTGTACAAGCTGTACCTTCCTTCAGCCTGAACCTGAGGATCTTTCCTTGCCACATAAAAGCTTATTTGGATATGCCCAGGGACCAGAAGACCTTGTGCAGGACTGGTGAGGGGGTCCAAGGCTCATCAGTTCATGGGAGCCTTCTCCATTGGGAAGGCTTGCGGACATGATCCAGCCTGTAGCCAGCCCTTCAGGCCACCCAGGGGACTGGTCAGGGACTCTGACCCCCTCAGCAGCACTAACTGAGGGTCCCACCTTCCCATGCCCGTAAAAAATCCAGCTACAAATGATGTCTGGCTGCGGGGAGAAGTGGGAACAAGGGAGAGGGATGTCTCCATGCACCCTTTCATAGAGCCCACCTGTGCAAACACGGCCAGGAGCCCATCTCTGCCCCAACACCACCCAAAACACATCCCTCTGCTCAGCCTCTGAGCTGCCAAGCAGGCGCCTCTGAGTTGGGTTGCTGCAACACTACGGAAAATGCAGCTCATCCCCCCGAAACCCCATGTGCTTTGCTGCAGAGAGGCCAAAAAAAGGGAAGCATTTCTCCTCCTTCTGACAGTAACTGTCAAGCTGATCAGAGCACACTTAACACATGCTCCAGCCTGGCTTGTTTATTGCTTTAGCTTATTTTTAATCATGAAATGCTGGATGCTTTAAATCTGGATAGGGAGAGTGTCTCTGGAACCAGAATTGTCTCCATCACAGAAGTATTTTTAATTTGGAATTTGGGGTAGTGACTTCTTCGTGTTTGAAATGTCACTGATACAGAGGCAGCTAATTCATTAGAAGAGATAATTTCATTAGAAATGAGCAGAAAGGGACTTGGGAGAGCTGGGGTAACCAGCAGGGGCTGGGTGCTGGTCCACCAACCTTTCTGTATCACCTGGAGCAATCCATGTCCTCACTCCTATACAGAGGAAGGGAGAGATTCCTGCCCACCCCACTTGAGTGCAAAGAAAGGGAGGTGCAAAGGTCAGCTCAGGAGTTACAGAGTAGGTGCAGAGCTGGTTGGTGTTTTATATGTAATAGACCTGTATCCATCAGACCGCTGGATAGATACCTAGGGACTGTGGACTGAGCACGTTAGTCTTGTTAACAGAATTGTTAAAAGAGCCCGAAAGGAAGGACAAGTTAACACGCACCACTTAAAGTAATATGAGAGTGGAATGGAAAAGCCAGAAAGAGCCCAAATTTTCTAGCTTGTTGCGCTCATTACTAGCCCTTTGTACCTCTCTTCATTGTATTTACTGTAACTGGCCATGCTTAAACTCACGTCAGAGTTATGTTAAATAGCTATGAATGGAAATTCATGGAAGGCAAATTGAAAATAGTAAGAAAATCATATATGGAGATACTAAGCAGGAACATATGCTGTACTATACAACAACCACTAAGAGATTTGTAAAAACTCATGGATTATCTAGATTTGATATAGTAAATGTTTCAGGTTGCTGATTATAATATTTGCAGTTTTTCTTTCATCCCTCTTTCTTAGGCTGTTTTCTTTCCTCAAGAGAGAGATTTAAGAAAGTTGTAAGTTGACTGGTGGTACCTAAAACAAACACTGAGCTTATTTCATTATTTCAGTGTTACATCACTGAATTTGGCTGAGGCAGACAGGTACAAAGTGGGGTTTATACAACGGAGTACAAATAACACTCCTGTTGGCCTCAGTGGACATAACCTCTGCGACCCTGTCACTTCTCTAAAAATCTGCCAATGCAAACACTACTGAGCTCCCAGGGCCTCCCACTGGCCCATCACATCGTAGGGACTCAGCACTAGTGCCATGATGCATTATAAATACTGCCACTTAATTCACATAGTATCTTTTCTATGTGCAATTCCTATGTGCAATTCCTATGTGCAGTCCTATTCCCCTTATTCAAGAGAGTCGTGGGTTTTTTTGCCACAAAGAGTTTGCCATCAGCACAGGATCATTTGCATGGAGAAAGCTTCTTTCAAGTGAAGAATCCACTGTTACATAGAGAGGCCACAGCATCATCCCTAGGCAAAGCTGATGTTCAAAGACGCAGGAGGAAAGAGATGCTGATAGTAGGGTGAGCAGGTCCAAAAGGACAGACCCCAGAAGGGCTATGGAGTGAAAGAGGAAAAGGCTGTGGACTGGGACTATGCAGGGAGAGCCTCTTTACATAGATTTGGGGTCAGCAAGACTGGCCAAACAGGGTGAGGAAAATGCAGCGTGTGCTCAAGCAGCAGGAGGTAGACAGCATCACACACTCCTGTAGAAACCCATAAACCAGTCCTGCTCAGAAATACTTCAGAAGTAAGTGATGAAGCAGCAAGTAGGTAGCAAGATGTTTTAGCTGATCCTGTCCCCTAGCCAGCACCATCCCTGCATCCCACGCATGGTCCAAGCTTCCCCCCCTGCAACAGCAGTTAGCCCAATCTCTGGTTCATGGCTCTGAGGGTAGCTAATCCCCTCTGTCACCTGTCCTTGCAGGCTGACAGTATCTGGATGGAGATCAGAGATGACGATGACCTGCCCACAGCTGAGGAGCTGGAGGACTGGATAGAGGATGTGCTTTCTGGGAAGATAAATACCGAAGATGACGACGACGACGACGATGACAACGATGACTAAATACCGAAGATGACGACGACGACGATGATGACAACGATGACGACGATGACGACAATGATGACGATGATGACGATGACAACGATGATGATGATGATGACGATGATTAGCTTTGATTGTGTACAGTTTGACTTGTGGGCACTGAGAGGCCTCCGCTGCAGCAGGTTGCTCCATCCAAAGACCTGTGCTTGAGTTTCAGCAAGCACCTGCCTGCTCCTCCTACCCCCTCTGCCCCGCTCCCCCTGCCCTTGCCAGGAGTCCCCACAGCCTGAGTCTCAGTGGTGCTGAGTGGCCAGGACTCCCCCTGTAGTGCGTGGTGCCTGCAGGTACCCAGCACCACTGTAAACCATGCTTCCTTCATACAGACAATAGGAATTTGCAGGGAATACCGCCCCCCACCCCCAAATCTCCCCAAAGTGGGAGGAAAAGTGCCTGCCCACTCACTGCCAGAAAACCAGGTTGAGCCAATTTATATTATCCATGCTCATCAGCTCAACAAATCTCGTTGGCAGAAAAGGTCACTGTAAAGTTTAGTCCTTTTTATTAAACAAAATATGCTTTGCAGCCACCCTGCCAAGATCACTGAATCCTCCTGAAAATTACTCTATGAGAGGCCATAGCTACTCATTAACATGCTATAAGTAGAAAAAAAGGTTTGGGCGGGGAGGAAGTCTTTACAGACACTAGTTAATTTTTCAGCTGTTCCATATAACAATGTTCTTATCTGGCAAAGCAGTGCAAAACCAAACTCCTCAGTTCCTGTCTGACTCAATGCTTTCTGAAAGCTCAGGCAAATGATAGGGTTAGTGGAGCTGGTCTGATAAGGGTTCATTGCAGCTTGAAAGTTCCTGAACTGCTCTAAAGGCTGATCCAGATTCAAGCCCAGATTCTTGAGGCTGAAGGTCACAGTGCTGAAGTGACCTGCTGATTCTTAACCCCCAAGTTTCAAGAAGCAGCAGACCAGATCACAGCCCAATTCTAAACATCTGCATCCAAATCTGGGTTGGGCCTACCTTCTTTGTCAGGTGAACCTCATCTGAATTAAAGGTTGTGCACTGACAGCATGAGAAGTCAAAGAGAAAATGTGAGAGTGCATACCCTTGCTGCCAGAAACATTCACAAGGGCCTGCCTGAAGCCATCCTATTCCCCATGACCTTCCAGCTTTAGCTGACTTTTAACCCAAATCTCAAATGGCATCTTTTCCCATGACCAAAGACATTAGGAGAGAACACATCCATCCAACCATATTAGACATTGGATATTGTGAGTCGGGCAATGAGCAGTGAAAGGATTCAAGCTGTTTGGCTTTTAAGTATTCAACCACAAAATTACTCCCGGCTTGGAGACTCAGATGCCCCATGGTAGCCTGTGAGAAGCCCCTTTTGACTGTAGACTGAAAAGGAGCTCAGGGCGTCAGTCTGCAGTCAAAAGGGTCACTCACAATGCAAAGGGTCAGCAACTCGGTCCTGGCGAATGCACCCCCATCCATGTGCAGGTCACTTCAACAGTGTTGGGTCCCCGTGCTTTCCCATGCCTGCAGATTCCAATTGTCTTGGCTTATTAGGTTTGACAATAGTGCAATGAATGGAGAGTTTGGAGATAGTTTTATCTCTATAAATACATCTAGAAATACCTTTTCTCGTTGTTCAAATTGTTAGCATAGGTAACATATTTGTCTTCTTTTTCTAGAGACGAGGAACATAATTTTATTCTTTCTTACCCTGGCTTGTGTCAGAAATAACAAGTGATGATGTTAGTGGAATTAATAGTGCAAGGGACAGGAAAATCAAAGCTTATTGTATGAATGTGAATCAACCTGATGAGAAACAAGGTTTACACACCATATATTTCCTCTATTGGATGAATTGCAAAGCAAAGTTTTATAGGTTTTTTTTTTTTTGGTTCCTATTGATCAGTCTCTTTGTCTCTCTCTATGTACAATAACTGAAATATAAATTTAAGACTACTGAACTACAAAAAGGCTAAAGTATTGATATGCTTCTACTTGTGCCATGTCCCCTTGGTGGAAAGTGGCAATATGAACAGCATACAGGCACCTCTATTCACACAAATGAATACTGTGTCATAAAGGGCTGCTATATGGTGTATGGCAATAGAGCATGAGAGCGTCTCTTTGAATATTGAAACCTTAACCAGCACTTTCCAGGACATCAAAGCCCCCAGGTCAATCTTTTATATATTTTCCCTTTCATGGGCAATATGCATCTTCAGGCCCTTCTATGCATCTTTGTTTATGATGCATAAACACTGTATGGAAGACTTGAACAAAGTGTGTTTGGGGAGACTGTCTACTGTCTGAGACTTCGCTCTGGGATTAGGAACACTTGGCCCCCATCAGAGGTGCCATGGATGGAATAGGTGTTCATCAGAGGACCCCACTGAGATTTTCAGGAGGCTCAAGATGGAGCACGCTCTCAGCTTGGTGGTCCTCTCCTTTCCTTCAAACAGCCCTCTCTCCTGGTTGGAGGGATATATGGGACATTCTGCCCTTTCAGCCATTTCCTCCTTGTGGAAGGCTCTCTGGCTCTGAGAGGGAGTGAGGACTCGAGAGACCTTGTGGAGAGGCTCAAAGCCTCATCTGTGCACATGGGTAAGGAGCGAGAACTGGCAAAAATCGCAGTTTAGTAGTCTCTTGCCTGTGGTTAAGGAATAGTGCTTGTGTTACATACCCGAGAAAAGTACCTGTTTAACTTTACCCTGGGGCTATTCCCAGGAGTAAAACATGCAAGATTTCACCCTGCATAAGATGATTTTTTTGGCATCCTGCATAGTCCCTGGAGGTCAAGACCAGTCATTTCCAAGGCCCATGAACTTCTATAAAAATAAAGAATAAATTAATAAAGCTCTACTGTCTTTCCTAGTGGAAAATCTGGACATCTCAAAGTTTGGGTAAATTCTGCATTGCTCCCCTTCTGCTCTGGATGCCCATTTACCCTGATATACCTCTCCCTAGGTGCCCCGAGAGACATAATTGGCTAGCCCCGCTCACAAGCAGAACAGATAGACCCTGTAAGTGGCACGACAGCTTTGTCCAAGTGCACAGGTGTTTCATAAACACAAATGTATTTCAGTGCACCAAGTGACAGAGATCTAGAGGAAAAAATATTAGTGCGGTCATGATTAGGCTAATACAGAGGCTCACTGAATCTGAGCTCCTGCTGTGGCTGATGGGCTTGGTGTTAGTGATTTGTAGAAAGTTTCTCTTGAGTTAAGAGCTAATCCCATGGCTTCCAATCCTCCATGGCACCAGTGCAGCCCTTTAAGGACTCCCCTTTTCTCTCTTCCGTCATTTCCCTATTAGTTTCCTCCAGCTCTCTTTGTCCATGGATGAGGTATTTTTATCTCTACTATTAATTTACAATCGTTTACTGATAAAGCTAAAAATGCCCAGTCTTGCTAACTTTTTTTTTTTTTAAATGTTACAATCTCTCAGTACATGACCAAAGAGATACCAAAGGAGTCTAGAGCTGTGACTTACACAGACACCGTATTGCTCCGTACAGACACTGGTGGACCTTAGTCTCTTTGGTGTTATCTTTGATGTACCTTGGTGCTCTGGCAGTTACTGGTGGGAAATGGTGCTTTTCCACTTACAGTCTGAGCCCAGCCTTAGTTGACTGTATGAAGTGTGGAATCACAAGTCGTAGGACAGGAACTGAGATTCCCTCCCACCTGTTCCCAGAGAAAAGGTTCTTCTGCTCTTGGTCTTGGGGGCCAAGGTGGGAGCTAGGAGGATCCTGGACTCTCCTGGGTTTCTGTGCCACAAAACAGGTACAATGCAGGACAGCAATGGCTCCAGGGTTTCAAACTGCAGTGAAAGGCACTGACCACCCGAAACAGCAAAGTCAGCCTGCCATTTATTCACTTAGAGGGTGAAAGGTCTGTAACTTCATATGAGGAACCAGCAAAATAACTTTCCGTTTTAAAGAGTGTGCATGTGTGGGGAGTGCTGAACGTTTTTGCAGGCCAAGTTTGTTATTGCTTTCCCTGTTTCATTTTTTTTTTCTCCAAAGTGTTAATTAAGAATTCATACTAAAGTGGTTCTTAACACAAATACATAAAAACAAGGAATCATGTTTTGCCCTCATCCAGCTAAGACTGCTTCAGACTCATAATGAAGTAGCCAAAAATCTAGTGTTATCAGCCCCACCAAGAGCGTGAGGACCCCTCTCCCAAGTGGTCCCCCCCAGGTTGCCCTGACCCTTCCAGGTAAGAGCAGACATAAAAGAGGCTGCTCCCATTCTCTCTTCTCCCTCAGTTATTCCAGTTGAAATAAGACGATCAAATAATTTTAAGCTGTCACTCCACTCCTTAGTTACTCAAATTTTATCCTTTCATCACTCCCAGGCTAAACCAGACACAAACTACTAACCCAGAAAGCAAGGGGAAGGGTACCCTACCAAGAAACACATAACTTCCAGGTGAGTTTTACAGCTATTGTATAGAAACAGGAAGGAGAAAGCTTTTGCCTTTGCAGCTGACCCACAGAGATCATTGGAGATGCTCTGTGAAGAAGGGAGAAGCTGCTTTGAGCTAGTGCCAACTCTTTTGAGAAACAGCTCCAGAAGGAGACACATCTGTAAATCACACATTTACTTCCTATTTGGGGGCTCAGCAGTTTTCCTGGTATTTATGGGAATAGGGGGTGATGAGACTCAACCGTGGTGTCCTCATATAACGCAGGGAGAGAAATGGCCATTTAGTGACACCAGAGATCTCAGTGATTTTCCACCCCAGATTGGAGCTGCTCAGCCCAATGCCAATGAACACACAACACCAAGGATACTGGCTGGCTGTCCACACACCATGCCTAAGACCATGATTCATCACAAGACAAAACATAAAGTGTTGCATTTTACTGTGAAAGAACTCATTAATCAGGAATGCATCACTTCCCTACCACTGATCAATCCCCCTGCAGTCCTGTGAAAACAGATCAGAATTGTGTTTGGATTCTTCTCTGCCCCAGCAAAGCTTTGGCTGCTGGTGCAAGCCCAATCTGCGGCATTTGCACGTGGATAGATCTCAGGGGTGTGAAGGGTGAGAATGGGGCAACAAGCACCAAGGTCCTCGAGAGTCAAAGCATACTGCTTCCTGGCATGGTGTATGGCTACCTTCATATCCCAGTATGCCTACGCTGTGCAGTGCAAGGCTAATCTGCTACAAACTGGACACAATTTTTGAGCAAGAAGGTTAATCAAGCTCAGTTACAAAGCTGTTCCAATAGCTTGGACCATATCCAAGACCCAACTGGGTATCTCTGTGCAGTGCTCGAGTGTGCCACAGCATCCTCCACCTTTGCCCCCTTTTCCTACATCTTGTTTCACCAACATCTGGGCAAAGCCAGCCTTGAACAGCACTGTCAGGGGCATTTGGCAGAAGAGCTCTAGCAGCAACACGGAGCACACGGCAGGGGCAGAGCCAGCACTTTTGGCCCAGCTCTCTTCCAGCAGGATGTTCCCTGCCAGGTTTAAAAGGTGATAAATGCTAAAAAAAGCTACGGAGCTTCCTTGCAGCTTGAAGACTCACATCGTGTCAGATTGCAAGCAGCTTTGGGGATGGAAGCAAAGATCCTTCCGGTGCCCTTTTCTGCTCCCGCCTCATGGCCTTGCTCACCTAAACCTCTGTAAAGAAGGACACTACCCACTACCAGAGCAGTTAATGAACTTATGGTTTGGTCCCCCATGCTACAGAGAACAAGAAGAAAACATAACTTTTTCAATTTCTTTTTTCTTTCTGTCCCTCCCTGACCCCTCCTGTTCTTTTTTAGCAGTTCCCCAAATTTTTTGCTCACTCTGTTTTTACCTTGTCCAGCTTCCTCTTCTCCTCAATCTGCCACCCAGCACATGGTGCCAAATCTCTCAAGGACAAGGCTCTCTCTTGTCGCACCTCCTTGAGCACATTCCCCAGTGCAAACACCCAGCCCCTGTCTGGGACACGGCCCAAAGAGGACTCCAGCCTCGTCTGCGCCTCCAAGGGACTTTTGCAGCTCTCCCGCTGCAATGCTGGGACCCACAGCTTCTTCTCTCTGCCCCAAGAAGGAGCAATATTTCCTTGCTAGAGAAAGGCACAACTCACTTTGCCCCGTTGTGAAATTCTTATTCAAACCAGGAGAAATGCAGCACAAATCCGGCCCAAAGGAGACTGTGCAGTAAGAGCTAGAGGCCTCTCCCCTCTCCCATGTAAACTCCCAGGAAGGTTGTTCCCACTACAGGCTGGGCTCTGGGGGAAAAAATTGGATTTTTGAGGAGGCATCTTTTCCCGCTGCCCCAGAATCCAAATGAGGAATATTGCCTTTCCACCAAGCCCTGTCTGAACGTCTAGGCTTGGTTATTTAGGCCACCGTTATGGAAAGAGAACAGTAACTCCCAGTGTCCCTGGCAATTTCATTAAGCTGCGTAGCACAAGACAAATAGCATCACTTCGTGCACATGCAATATGCCAAGAGGGTTAAACAAAGCGACTGTGGCTGGAGAGGTTATCTCATACTTGAACAGCAATAGGAAAGCTAACTGCCTTCCAGGAAAGGCCAGTTGCTCTAACCGAGTCCTTCTTCAGCCATAGGTGGCAAGTGACTTAAATTGCCATGGGCTGCCTGCTTTGGTAACACCTCATGCTTTGTTTTTTGAGTCAGGTCCCTCCCTTGGCAACAAAGTTAGAAATAAAACAATGTTCAACCACAGAGCGGGCCTGAAATTCACCTGTTATATTTCTGCTTTAAAACTGAATCCAAAATGTCAACATCCAGGCCTGGTTAGTGACAAAGAGCAAGAGTTATTGAATGACAAAAAAAAAAAAAAAGTATGAAGAATATTTTAGTTTGCAAAATGGAATCACTGGAAGTATTTTCAAAGCTTCTCATAATCTACTTACTGAATTACTAAACCAATTTCTCCCAATCACTTACAAAGTAAAAACATAACGAAGTATAGGAAACTGGTATTATCAGTACTTAATGATGAGTTTAACCGAACAGGAGCTGTTTACAGATCTGTTTGCTTTGCATCTATGGGCCTGGGATATAACCCACTTCTCACTCCCTCTTTTAAAGTGCACCTACCTGCATCTGACCTGCAATGAAGACAGCTCCAAGCAGCTAAACAGCTTAGACTTTCTCTTAAAACTTCTAGAGAGCTTGAATCAAATGATTTTACCAAGTACTCACTTTTCCCCATGAGCCCATTTTTCATTCATGCCATTTTTTTCAAGTAGAAAGACCAGCACTGCAGTCAAAGTGCTTGTAAGTCTTAGCCTGGCCTTCGGATATTTTGCAGTTTAGAAAGTAGCTTCATGCCGAGAGCAATCTATGACACCTTTATTTTTTTTTTTAAAGAAAAAAAAACTCTTTGTACCTTTGCGTTTCTAAGAATGCTGTAGCTAAGGATGGTCCATTTCTGAAAGGGAATTTGATGGTGATGATCTTTTTCTCAGCTTTGCGTCTTTCTTCATATTTTGCTCTCATGGGCAGGCTGGCAGTGGGGTCATCACAGGACAGTTCTTGGCTTCCCAGGCTACTTATGTTACTAGAGATCAAACTGGAGCAAACCCCAAGCCCTGCACAAAACTGAGTTTCTCTACCAGATCCATCTCCCAAATTTGGGGAAAGGGAATATCAGCTCAGGGCTTTGCAGTTAGCTGGCAAATCTGTAGCAGGCCACATGTTGATCATGCATCACTGTAATAACAGTGTCCAGACAACTCACATTTCAAGTACACTCTGGAAGCAGGCAGGGAGATGAGGAAAAACTGGAAAATTGCTCTCTTCCTCTCCAAATTTCACTATCAACACGCCAACATGCCAGTATGAACCAACCCATGCACTCACAGCAGGGCTCTAGAACCGATTGCAGCGCCTCAAAACAAGTCATTGCCTATGAACAAGATTGCTGTGGTTATGCGCGGGCAGTCACTGCACCAAACTACCCCTACAAACTTGGGCAAACATGCTATGTTCACTACTCCCTCTTCTCTCAGCACTTACTGGCTTGGTGGCACGTGGATGCACACGTGAAAAGGGAGCGGATGCCCCTGCACCAGTAGATTATCTGTCAGTACAGGAAAGGACCGTAACCCAAGCCTATCACCTTCCCCGTCCAAGATAAACTCAGAAGCGGCGCTGAAAGACAAATCAAAGTGCTCAGCTTGGACAACTCCCAATGTGTCTTCCCTTCCCGCATGCTGCTGTGAGGCACCACGTCCTGCTGAGAGATCCGATTCCCCTTGCACCCACCCCACCTGCCCAGGAACCAGGGCTCCCTGGCTTCCTGCCTGCTGCTCCCTTGAAAACCTCGAGGTCAATCACCCCCCACATCTCCTGCACATCCAGATCTGGGCTGGGGCAGCAAAGCCAATAAACAGCACTAGTAGAAAGGTCATTTGAGGAGTTTGTAGCTGGGCTCACCTCCACAGCTAGATGTTTCATCAAGCTACTAGCTTAACCAACATTATTATGTGGTGAGGCATTGCTACTTGACGCTGAAAGGCTTTGGTGCTACACCTTGACAACATGCAGTCTCTTTGCCCTATACCTCCCTCACCAAATTCTCCTAAGCTGATATTTTTTAACCCTCCATAACTGTGGCCAACAGATCTTATGTATTGAGCCACACTTCAGTCGTCAGCCCAACTCAGCATCAAATAATCTGCTTCAGCTGCTGTCTCCATCCTGCATCAGGGCAGCCCCCTAGTCTGGTGCCTTTACAGATGGGGAAGGCATTACAGAAGAGGCTCCTTCTTCCCCCCTGCCCCTGCTCTGATTCCTCCCTCAGAGGTAAGACACTTGCTTCTTGCTCAGCCTGATGAGTTCCTCCAAGCATTAGCTACCACTCCAAGGCTCCTTTCTCGTTTTGTCAGAGGCCTTTGTCAGTAACATTCAGTTAACGCTCCAACGTTGTACTGGCGGCTCTCTCACGCCCCTAAGACCCTTACACCTTTAGTGAAAGTTTTGGCCAGGCCAAAAGAGCACCCTCAGCTCCTATTTTTGCTGAGCTACATGCCACAATTCCTTCATGTTGTAGATACCCAAGCCCTAAGCAAGGGAACTGGTCCCTCCAGCAAAACCTGTTCCTTCCACCAGCGAAGCGAAGCCATGGCAAACAGCAGCAGGGTTCGGGCATTGATTTGGCATCAGCATTAAGCCACACATTAAACAAAGCATGCCAAACTTGAATGGAAAGGCAAAACTCAGGGCTGAGAGCCTACGATGGAATGGAGGCTGTTGCTGCTAAATTCCTGGTCCTTGCACCTTGCTGCGACAAACCTGCTGCTGGCTCCTGCCCTGTCTTTACCAGCAGGGCTTCAGTGCCGTGGAGCTGGGTCCTCTGCGGGGCTGGAGGGGACAGGCAGTGGCTGCACTCCCACCTCAGGCCCTGGAGAGTGGCAGCAGTGCAGGTCCCCTCCCCTCTGCACTGCAGGAGCTGCAAACCGAGCACGAGAGCAGCAGCAGGGTCAGGGATACAGATCAAGAGGAGAGGGATCAAGGCAGGGCAGGAGGCAGGACTGTGCACACCCCCGTCCCACCCTTCCTGCTTCCTCCCGGCCTTCACTTCAGCCCAAACAGATTCACCTCCCAAGCTCAGCATCAGCTGCTGGGACGTTGTTCTCCATTGGTGTTTATGCACCAACTGCTTATCACACAGATCGCCCTGCTGTATTTTCCACCACGTGGCAGCATCCTGTGGATTTTTCCAGCACTCCAGGGCATGGAGACTAGGGTTGACCATGGGAGGATATAGGCTTTTCAGGACAGAGCTGTGAGCTGAGGTAGAGGTAGCCCCATGAAAAGGGCACGAGGTCCTCAGGAGCAGGTACCAAAGACGACACAGGGCACATCGCCCCTGAGGCTTCCCCAGGTGCCTCCGTCCTCAGTGGCAGACATGGAGCAGGCCCACACGGCCGCTCTGAGACACCACAGTCTTTCAAAGCTCTACCTCTTCAGTTCCAGAGGCTGGGCGGGGGGAAAGCAGCAGCCATTTTTGCATCACAAACACTGTAAGTTGTCTTAACAGGAGACAGGCCCCAAAACACAGCAACTTTTCCTCATCTTGCCACTCCTCCTCTTCTCCTCCTACCCTCTGAAACAAATCCAAATAAGGAGCTCGGCAATGAAACCCGCACTTCATAATTTGTGTGCAAACCATGAGGGAAGACAGGAGGTAGAAAAACCTGTTCCAGCTCCGGTCCTGTCTCCCCACACCCTCACCAGCTGTATTTGCTCCCCATCACTCGCTATTTCAGGTGTTCAAAGCAGTCCCCTGCCAGCCTTGCTTTAAGGGTGATAAATAAGTTTTCATTTTAGGGAGGCAGGGCAGATCATAAAGGGCTACAAGGAAGGTGCCAGAGTTGGCCTCAAAAAGGTTAAACCGCATGTTTATAGGGCCCCTCCCAGCCACAGATGAGAAATGCTCAGAGGCCAGAAAAGCACTTTCTTGGGTCAGAAAGGATAAGAGGAAAGAGAGGGACAAGAGGATTTCTGGTTTCACTTTATTCCCAGAATTTTACTGTACAAAATATGCAAAGTGTAAAATGGTTTTATGTTTCAGTTTAAAAACAACAAAACCCCATCCAGCTATAACTTAAGAGAACCCAGCTTGGGACAGAACAATTTACTAGGCTAGACACACAGTGCATTAATGTCACAGACACCAAGAATTTGCTTACTTAAGATCACGATTAGAAAAGAACAGAAAGGCCGTGTACCATTGCAGCTAAAGGCGCGTGTGCAGAGAGAAAAAGAAACGCTGGTTAATGTCCATTCATTAGAAAAATCTTGGCAAAACCCATCCTACTATACATACTTGGTGTAGAAAAAAGTATTAACACAGTGATCAGAAAAGGGTGCAGGAGGGGGGTTTGCTCTGGTCCCCTTCCCCAAGACATGGTAACGCTGGATTAAAGAAACAGGCACAGGAGAGTGCAAGGTCGTTCACAGTTAATCCATGCAGCCGCAGCATCCACGGCTGGTAAAAGGTGTCCAAGCCGCATCCAAGGGAGGGATTCCCTCCTCGGCATCGGGGCTGGCTGCCTGCTGCTCACGGGGCTTCATGGGGTTACGGGAATGAAAACAGTCTTGTGAGGGGAGGCAGAGAGGCAAGCAGTACCAGATGTGCCACAGGTGCTGTGGGGACCTCGCTCCAGGGTAACCCACAGGGTCAGAAACAACAACTTTTGGTCCTAATGTGAGGCACAGCCTGAAGGCAAAAGGATGCATATCCCTGGAGTATCCGGGGACCAGCATAGCCCTGTCAAGAGACCACCAGCCACAAAGGAATTTTGTTTAGTTTCATAAAGAGCCTGATCCCAAGAGTGCTTCTTTCTTAATACCGTTTAAACACCAATCATCAAGTCTGGCTTCAGGCCTTATACACACATAATGCAAATACCCATAAGGGAAAGCACATACACACAAGCTGAATTATCAGGAAACAGACATCTGTGCTCACTGTTCCTGAGCAGCTCTCACATGGCAGGGTACAACTCCTAAGTACAACCAAATAGTAGAGCCTGGGAATAGACTACAGCACTTTTTTTTTTTTCCTCCCCCTGAAAGACAGGAACATTTTTGTTTTATCTTTAAAAAAGGCAGATTTGCAAGCTTTTGTAACAAGATGGAATTGGCTTAAATGCGTTTCCATGCTAAGCAAGGTGCAGGTCTTTCAAGTTTCTTCAGTAGCAGGTGTTGTAACAAGCACATCTCAAATGACTTTAGAAGATACTTATGGGCAGACAGTTTCTAGAAACTGCTTTGCTCAGGTTTTTGGATTCCTGGAAACAGCCAATTACCTAGACATTGTGTTACAATCCTCATCCTAAACTTTTTTTTTTTTTTAAGGGTCTCCCAAAATTGTGTCTTATCAAGAGCTGACATCCAGCTCCAACCAGCAGCCTCAGCACCTCTCATCCCACCTGCTACTTGTTCTTTCTCACTGGAGAACGTAAAAATCACACAGCAACAGGAGGATGGAAGCAGGAGTTGCGGTGACTGAAGCTGTTGGGCTAGGGGCTGCCTAGTGGCTGTGTTAACCCTCTCCCAGGCCTGTCTGGGGAACTGGCAATATACTAGGGATCTAGTATCTACCCCTAGCCTCCCAGAAGCTGCAGGAAATCCTCATTTTCCACTCTTTGTCAAAAAAAAAAAAAAAAAAAAAAAGTCAGCTGTTGTGAAAATCCACAGCCATTTCCATCTGCCCTGAAAAAAAGCTGAAAAATCTTTGTTGCTTCTGGCTTTAGTAGAGCAAAGTTTTGAACTGTTCTGTGCAGCCACAGGAAAAACAGCCAAGTAGAAGAGATGAGCAGGGCAATCCCACCCCTTGCTGGCACCTGCACCTGAGCACACAGTTCAGCAAGAGATGCCCAGATGCTGCTGGGCATCCCTCTTCTGAGGGAGATGCTGTCAACCTCTCTTTGAACAGGGCTTTTGTCTAATCCATGCTGTTTCTAAAGGCCGGTTCCCAGTGAGGCACAAGCATACAGGTAGGGAGCAGTGTGTGTGAGGAGACAAGACAGGCTAGAAGAGGTATTTGCAGGGAAGCAGCCTGTGCTTGGCTGGCAAACCTTACAGGTCTTATTTACGTGCGGCGCTTGGCAAGCTTTGCAGGAGGACTGCAGGATTTAGATCAGAGCTTCGTTCCCTGTGACTCGGTTCTTACTCATGAGCTGGCTATAAACAAAGCTAAACAAGCTGGTCTGCTCTTGTTGTTCACTGTTTTTTTGTGAAGAGTCTGAATTCCTGTAGCACCTTCCACCTTTGAATCTCAAAGCACTTCACAAAAAGTGAGTTTAGCCTCACAACACCCCAATGAGGTAGGTATAATCATGGTCCCCTTGTCTTGTACTGGGGTGTGAAAAAAGCCCCAAAACAAAAGGAGACCCAGGGAAATAAAATGACATAACAAAAAAACATCCAAGAGACCCAATTTCACTCTGTTCTCACCGCTAAATAGGCTGCTTCTCTTTCCAGTCTCAGGAAAGACCGAATAAAGTAAACAAGCTGTTTCAGAGGTGAAGATCTCTCCTTCAGCTGTTGCAAAGCATTCACCCTAATGCGGGGAAGAGCATTTCATTTAAGAACCGGTCCCTGTTGACAGTGGCCTTTTCAGTGAAGGCAGAAGCAGCACTTTGACCTGCAGCACAGCGATTAAGAAGCAGATCCAGAATGAGCACACGCTGCTTCCATCTGGTTGTCCACGTTTAAGGATTTAATGCAATTAAAGACTAAGTTGTGTTTCCTGAGCAGACAGTTTCAGACAATCCATCCCTACCTCCCCGAAGGGGAAGAGGGGAAAGGAAAGGGGCAGGAAATCCTGGGAAAGGCTTTACCAAGGTGCCTGAAACAAGGTGCTCTCACACTCACGACACACCCAAGCCCCTGGCAAGGTGCTTCTTGTTCTGGCTTCTCGCAGATGAGCCAGTTCAGCCACAGGCAGCAGCCTGAACACAGGCATAAGTGCTCCAGAGTCTCCCAGGCTCTCCCATCCTTGCTGGCTATGCACACCAGGAAAGCCCAATACGTACAGCTTTATGAGATCTAAGTTTGAGATACTATAAGCCCTCTCCACTTTTTAAAAGATAGGATATAAAACAATCTGGTATTTTTTAAATTAAAATACTGCAAAGGCCACACTTAATAATTAAAAAAAAATCCCATACATACTAACAGGAAGTCTGACCTAGAAAAAATTCCAAACAGTTAAGTTTACAGCAGTGAAATTCTACCCACTTCCCACCCTGCAAGGGACACAGGTCTGATCCTGAATCCCACTGCATACAATCCGCGTAGTTTCTTCACAACCCTTTTTTGCATGTCACACTGAGAGGACTGGATCCCAGTAAACATCATGCATTCAGAAGAAGGCATCCATCGGCAGGAGGAGTTCAGGATGCTGTAGATGACTTGTAGCTGGGGAACCACCGCTTTGGACATTCACTCATCAGGGTGCTCAGACGGCAGGTAGCTCCCTTGATTCTTGCAGGACTATCCATAGGTGGTGTTGGACATACACTGCCTTCTCGGCCATTCCTGGGCCAGGGGAGGCCGAAGAGGACAGCAGGGGCTATCACAGTCACCCCATCAAAAGAAGATGCACCCTTATACTGAAAGGCACACATTTACACACCTCATGAACATGGGCTCTCTGTGGTAAGACACATCTGCAGGGAAGGACAGATAACTCCTGCTACATATAGGAATTGCATGGTAAAAGCCCGAGCAGAACAAATTGAGCTTTTTCCATTCACACGCGTGGATCCATCAGCACAGAGGCACAGGACCCCAGGAGAGCTCTAGCAGGAGATCAGGTCACCGCTGGGCTCAGCATTGGCGCAGGAGCCGCACGGCGCCCCACGCCAGCATTCAGAAGTCAGTACATTGATTTAGGCTCGCCTTTAAAAAGCAAACCTTTCAAAACCCCACGACAAACAAAAGTGTCGGATGCAAAAGGCGCACTAAAGGGCAAAGGCCTTGAAAACAAAATTGCAATTTTAAGAGCTAAGCATCTCTCTTACAAAAGCAGAGAGATAGGAGGTTTCTGTCACCGAGCACTGAGGAGCGACTCCCATGGGAGAGAAAGGCCAAGGAAGGCAGGGAGATCTTCAACATTCAGATACAGTTTGGTATTTCTTTAGCTTACGCTGCAAAGGCGTACGGTGGGGAAGCACGCACCGTTCAGAGTGAGCGAGCGCACGCAGCAGAGGGCAGCCCTTGGCCTGCTCCGCTCCCACGCAAGGGAACCGCTTTCGCCCTTCTCCCCTCCTGCCCCGCAAGAAGCAGAGGTGCATTCTTAGGCACGGGGAGGGCCCGTGATTTATCTAGCAAGGAGCTGGCTACATATCGACCCTGTCCCAGAGCAACCACGCAGCGCCTGCAGGTGCAAAAGGGAGGAGTAAAGGCAGACCCCGAGGGCACAGGGGCTGGAGAAACACGTTTGGAAAGCCCAGAGGAAGGGCACAGGAATGGGGAGCTTTGGGAGTGTCCAGCAGAGAAGGGGAGCAAGCGTTAGAGATGAAACAGCGGTGAGAACAAGGGAGCTGTTCATGCAAAATAAAGACATTTCTAAAGACTAACAAGCACTGGTTAAAAAAATAATTTAAAAAAAGAACAGCTGCAAGATGGGCTGATCCAGTGCAAGACAAGCTGTTTGTCAACAGGCAGCAAAACCACCCCACTGTGTTCATTCAGGTCCAGTGCTAATACAAGAGGGGACAAGGAGAAGGGGAACGAGAAAAAACAAACAAATCCCCTTCAGCCTCAAGGCTACATGGTTCGCAGAGGTTTCCCTCTCACACGCACCCTTTGAAATCCCTCTTCTTCCCGAGTGAAAAAGCAGTGCACATTCCCTCGGTACCATGCAGACTGCCACACTGGAGAGGAGCGCAACGCGTTCTCCCAGCAGCTACAGGTAGCGAGAGCAGGGCCACGAAAGTGCATGCACACACACACACACACACACACACACACAGAGCAAGGCAGTGTTCCAACAAAAACACAGACATTGCAATTTTGAAGAAAAAAAAAAAAAAGAGAGAGAGAAAATGAGATTTACAGTATGCCAAGGGAAAAAAAAAAAGAGAGCAAAAAGAACTGTTCTGTCTCCAAAGTTGAGCTAACTGAGCCAAGTCACCCTGTCGCCTCTTAAGATACTCCTTCCTAGACAAGATATCCCGAATCCCCCCCACCCTGCCCCCCTTCCAAATAAAGTGCAGATGGTCAAATATTACTGGTCCATCATCTGCCAGTTTCAGTCAGCCAGTTGGGGAAATTAAACTGAAAAGCACAATATTGAAAAAAAAAAAATCCCCAAAAAACCCACCCTCAAAACCCTTTAAACTGAAGTCTCGGACTGTAAGCGAAGGACGAATTTATGAGATTTAGGGTCTATGAACTCTTCTGAGAGTTTGATGAAGGGGATTTTCTTCACATTAACAACAAGGCTGAAGTCCAAGCACTTGAGGACAAAAACAATTCCATCTTGCAACCCGCTTGTGACCGCTTCCTCGCTAACGAGCGTCCACTGCTTGGAAAACCAGCGATCCCTGTCGTACTGGAGGGTTGGGCCTGGGCTGAGGTAACGCTCCAGGAAT